CTGACATCCATTTTGTTTTTTTCTTCCTTTCCTGTCTTTTAAATGACCTTTTGCTTTCTTCATGGATGATGTTCTTGATGTCATCTCACAATTCCTCTGGTTTTCAGTCATTGGTGTTCAATGCATCAAATCTATTCTTTAAGTGGTCTCTGAATTCAGGAAAGAGATAATCAAGGTCATATCTTGGCTCTCGTGGAGCCCCCTTACCTCAAGCATTTTTCCCCTTCTTCTTTAGGGATGGCCCACAGCTAATGATAATATGGAAGTGCAAAGGCCCAGTCACATTGTCTCCTGGAGGGACCGTTCAGATGCTAGAACTGCTTATGGGGTCAGCTGAGGATAGAATTCAACTGAAGCCACTTCTTGGTTTAACTGCTACCATAGTGCTTCCCTCTACTTCTTACAAGTTTCTCCTGAAAGCACTCTCTGAATAAATCATTGCACGAGAATCATTGTCTCAGGGTCTACTTATGGAACCCAACTTAAGACACTCAGCTTATGGTGACACCCCTTAAATACAGTTTTCTTTGGGATGATGGTTGAAAATGTGATGGGCCACATTACTCATGGAAGTGTACTCTACTTCTCATATAAAATGATATGGAAATACATTGAGGACTGCTAGTCTAAAAACAAGGAGCTCTGTAGTATAGTGGTTAAGGCATTTGGCTGCTAACCAAAAGGTTGGTAGTTTGAACCTACCAACTATTCCATGGAAGAAAGATGAGGCAATCTGCTTCTGTAAACATTTATAGCCTTGGAAATCCAATGGAGGTCATTAGAAGTTAGAATTGACTCAATGACAATGAGTTTGGTTTTCCTTTCTTTCTTTCTTTTTCTTTTTCTTTTTTTTTTTTAAGAATCTAAAAACAACAGCTGTGCAAGAAAATGGATAAATAGCAAAATATTCAAAGGACTTAGTAGTAGTATTTTTTAGGGTAGTATTTCTGTGGGTAGTAAACTCATTAAAAGTTGGCCATGAATCCATAGTGACCATATATAACATGCTAAAAATATTTTGAAGGGGAACAATACTAAAACTTGCAGTGTTTGGTCTTAGATTGTGTTCCCACAGGAGCAGTTCAAGAAACAGGGCTTTGAGAACAAGTTTACTTAGGATATAATTCCAAGAACCTCTGTAGGAAACTTGGGAAGTGAGCCAAAGAAGGGGGGGGGGAAGAAGCTAATACAGAGTGGATTAAAGAACAGATTGGAATCCCTAAGTGGTGTAAATGACTAATGCACTCAGCTACTAATTAGGGAGTTCTGGTGGCATTGTGGGTAAGGCATTTGGCTGCTAACCAGAAGGTCAGCAGGTCAAAACCACCAGCTGCTCCATGGGAGGAAGAGGGGGCAATCTACTCCAGTAAAGAGTTATAGCCTTGGAAAGTCAATGGGAATCACTATTAGTTGGAATCAACTCAATAGCCTTGTGTTTTGCTAGGTAAAAGGTTGGAGATTTGAGTCTACTCCGAGGTGCCTTGGAAAGAAGACCTGGACATCTACTTCCAACAACAATAAAAAGGACCCACTGAGAACACTATGGAGTACAGTTCTACTCCAGCACTCATGAACTGATAACTGGTGGTAGAGAGCAGATTATTCCTGTGAAAAGCTTGGACTCATTCCCACTGAGGGCCTCTGGAAAACACACTTCTCGTGACAGGAGAAGCAGCCAGCATTTATCCACAAACTCCCATCGATTGGTTCAAGGCTGCTTCTGAGGCTGTAACTATCCTACATTGGCCTGCCCAGAGCTTGCTCCTTCATCTAGAGAATGTCGTCAGCCAGAGTCCCAGCTGCTTGCTGTAAGAAAGCATCCTTCTGTACCAGAATGGAGAGCACTGAGCAAATAAAGGTGGGACCCTTTTTCTCCAGAGAAGAACAGCAGAACAATTGAAACAATTGACATCTGAGGATGACAGTTCAAGGAGGAAAAATAATGCAATACCATGCATTTGTATTTCTATGACTGGAAAGTTATGATTTATTTAAGAGGCAAGAGGAAATTTGGCAGAGAACAAATATTGTTATTGGGGTTTTAGTTGGCAAATTTCAGAGGAAATTCATAGTTTGTGTTGATTTGGGAGAGAGAGAGAAACGTGGGAGAAGCAGTGTATTTGGAGGCCAAATTCAGTCTAAGAATGAGTGGCACTGAGGTTTCACAGTGGGCTGCACATGATTCAGCTCACAGGTGAACAAAAGAAGATTGTTGATGAAAAGCAGTTGGACGCAGGTCAGAGTG